GTTCAATCCATATTGAAGGTTGCAGTCCTTGATTTTCTGCAGCAAGTGCTTCAGGTCCTCATCAGTTTCATCAAGCATGGTTATGTCATCTGCATAATAAATGTTATTGATGAATCTTCCTCCAATCCTAATGCCACACTTCTCCTCATACAGCCCAACCTCTTGGATGATCTGTTCTGCATATAGATTGAAAAGGTATGGAGATAGAATGCATCCCTGGCATACACCCTTCCCAGTTTTGAACCATGTAGTGTTTCCTTGCTCTATTCTGACAACTGTAACACCATAAAAATAGCTGAATGGTCTGGCATGCCACTCCACATGCTCCTGCACCTATTCCTCCAAATCATTGGGTCCAAGGTTAGCTGCAACTTGACTCACAAACGTCATTCATGATTGTGGGGTTTATTAGGGAAATAGGTTGAGCAGTAGAGGAAGCAAAAAAATATCACATCATTCAAGTTCAAGTTTAGTCCAGTAGCCTGAAGCCACATTAACAAGGCAATATTCCTCAAATAGTGCAAGTCCACCTTCAATTCAGCAGGACAAATAAACCTCTGGTTTCCTCAATCACACAGCAAACTTTTATCTCAGAGCAATCACAAGTCAGCTTTTCCTTCAACCATCCAGCAAGCAAAACTAAGCCTGTCTTCATCTCCAAGATTCTTCTTGTTACACCTTGCCACAGATACTTCACATCAGTGCCACAGTCTCTTCACCCTCTCTCTACCACCACCTCTCACAATGTCTTCATAGTCCCTCCACAATACGGAAAGCATTGACTCTTATATTGGACCAACAGCTGTTGATAATATGCAAAACCATATGTCCACACTTAAGGTAGCTGGAGACTATCCCCTTCAACTGATCTAATACAATGGCTAGAAAAGCTAATTTTCAAGTTTTCTGATACCACACTACTCACTAGGGCCTTTAATCTTTCTTGTTGTGAACCAACCCATAGCTTTTATCCTTCGTGAAGCAGATTTTAAACATTCCACAGCATATCACTGTCTTTATCTGCTTTGATACCTACATTATTATTGTAACAAGATAAGTATGTTAATACAGCCTACTCAAAGTAAGATCAATAGATCTTGGCTGTCCTATAAATTACTTGTTACCAGTCAACGATAAGTACAGAGATGGAGAGTCATTTATAGCAATTTGATATTGCTGTAATAATACCAGAGTATATGATTTTGTGTTTCAGAAAAGCATCAATCCTTGATGGGTTGGAAATTTAAAATTGGTTCATCACTACAGGTAGTTTGAGAAGTGCCACTTTACTCCACTCTCACGGTTCTTTATCCTATACCTTTTCTGCTCTCTCTCTCACATGATATTAAGATTGTTTTACCATAGATTAAATGTTCCCTTATTTGTGCATGAATTCTTCATTGCTTCCTACCTCTTAGCTTTTTGAAAACTGATTCAGAAGTCTTTGTTCATGTTCTACTGTCTTGACTCCTCCTGAGAAAAAAGTGACCTCCTCTCTCAGTGGAGGTGTGATAGAGTTTGTTTTTTTTTTAAAAAAAAGAAAAAGTCAGAAAAATACATTTATATAACAATAAATCTCTTTCTCCTGTATAAAATCAAGAAGGATATATACAAACTTCTAACAGTAGTTATCTGTATATGACAAGGTGATGGGTTGAAGAGCATAAATTATACCTTTTTTGTATGCTTGAATTTTTAAAATTTTCTACAATGAATATATGTTACACTCCACATAGAGGTTGGATTACATCTAAACATCAATAAATCAGAAATTGTCACCACTGTACCAATAGGCAACATTATGATAGATGGAGAAGAGATTGGCGTTGTCAACAATCTCATTTTACTTGGATCCACAATCAAAACTCACGTTGGCAACAGTCAAAAAAAACCCAGTAGATATGTTTCATTGATGAAATATGATATCAAAGATCTCTCCAAAGTGCTAAAGAGCAGGGCTGACAATTTAAAGACTAAGGTGCACATGATCCAAGTCATGGCATTTTCAATTGTTTCCTCTACATTTGAAAGTTGAGCAGGTAATAAGGATGGAAAGCTCTAAGAGGAGAAGTGTGGCATTAGGATTGGAGGTAGACTCATCAACAATCTGCGTTATACCGATGACACAACTCTGCTTGCTGAAACTGAGGAGGACCTGAAGCACTTGCTGCAGAAGGTCAAGGATTGCATCAAGAAAACAAAGATTCTCACCACTGGGCCGATTGGCAGCATCGCGATAGATGGTGAAGAGGTTGAAATTGTTGACAGCTTCAGTTTGCTTGGCTCTAAAATCAACATTCTTGGTACCAGAAGCCAGGAAATTAAAAGACAAATTGCATTGAGAAAGTCTGCTGTCAGAAATCTCTCCAAGGTACTGAGGAGCAATGATGTCGGTCTAGAGACTAAGGTACGCCTTATGCAGGCCATCGTCTTTGCCATTACTTGTTATGCATCAGAGAGCTGGACAATGACCAGGGATGATAGAAGTAGAGTTGATGCCTTTGAGCTGTGGTACTGGAGAAGAGTATTGAATATAACATGGACTGCTAGGAGAACAAACAAGTTCATCCTGGAGAGGGTGAAGCCAGGCTGCTCCTTGGAGGCAAGGATTTTGAAGCTCCACCTGATATATTTTGGACATGTTGCAAGGCGAGATCAGTCCTTGGAGAGGGATGTCATGCTTGGGAGGGTGGAGGGACAGTGCAGGAGAGGAAGAGCCTCAATGAGATGGATTGATTCCGTCACTGGGGTAATGAAGATAGGTGTGTCAGAGACAATAAAGTTGGCAAGAGACAGAGTAGGGTTTAGGGCTGTTGTACATAGGGTTGCAATGAGTCACAAGAGACTCGACGACACATAACAGCAACAACAATAAAAGAAGAATCAATGCATTTGAACTGTAGTACTGGAAAAGAGTGCTGAATATAACAAGCACTGCCAAGAGAACAAGCAAGTCAGTCTTCGAGGAGGTGCAAAGGCAAAGATGGTGAGACTTCATCTAACAAACTTTGGGCATGTTGTCAGAAGGGGCCAGTCTCTGGAAAAAGACATCATACTGGAAAATCTTAAGGGTCAAAGAAAGAAAAAAAACGACCCTAAACAAGATGGACTGACACAGTGACTAACAATGGGCTAAAATATATTGAAGATGGTGAGGATGGGGCAAGAGAGTGCCAAGTTCAGAACTGTTGTTCATAGGGTTGCTATTTTGGTCACGTTGCCAGCAGAGGTTATTTCTTGGACTGGTGCATCATGCTTGGAAGGGTAGGGATTCAGCAAGAGAGAGGAAGACCCACAAGGAGACGGACTGACACAGTGACTGCAGCAACGAGCTCAAACGAGTCAGAGATGAAGAGGATGGTACAGGATAGGAAAGAGTTCAGATCCGTTGTTTGTAGGGTCACTCTGAGTTGTCCTTAACTTGGTGGCACTTAATAACAACAACATGAGTTATAGTGAACTCCAAGGCACATCATAATAACAATAAAAAAAGGGGGGGAAATGAGCCCCTTGTACTCATCTTCTGGATCTTATAAGACTGTCAATGTTTCCTGTGGGCTTTTGGTTTGGGGGTCCCACCCCTAGTTCTTTATGCCATAAGAGAAAATGCTGAATCATATACATCATTTCTGGAAAATCTTAGGATATTATCTCTATCATAGAGCGGCTATATTGACACTCTTGGATATTAAGCCCCTATCATAACTGGTATGCAAATACAATGAAGAGGTGTTGCTTTGAGTCTTCTCCCCAATTTCCTTCCAAATTCTTCAGATTCAGCACTGAGTTATTACCATACACTTAAAGGTTCATTTTCTGGAATGCCATCACTAATATTTCCCCAAAGCAAGTAGAATATATGCATTAAGCCACAAGTTCTCCATATATAAGGCAAAGAAGTTTCCAGGCTTGTCCTAAGCACTTGAAAACAAGGACAGTGGCAATTCTTCGTGTTTACAATCAGGCTTTAAGATGTGAAAGAGAATAATACATGCATTGCATTTCTATAGGAAGTTTTTACAGCCATGGGCTGTTCATATGTATAATATCATCTCATCCTACTTTCATGTGAGCCCTTTGAAATAATAATAATTAAAAATACATACTAAAAAGGCAGAAGCACTACCTTGAGGCTGTGGCACGGAAACTCCAAGCCAGCTGCCTGAGCCAGGCCCGCTATCTCCTCTGGACCTACATTTCGTCACAGAATACTACAAACACTTTTGAAGAGACATGTCCTCACTGCTTCCAGTTGATGGTGTTGGATAACTCTATAGTGCATCTCAAACCCAAGCCCAAAATGATATCTCAAATATAGAAACTTCTTACTCAAGAAACAAAAGGTTATACACTCACTTTAAAAGAAGCAGAACTCATGAAAAAGTGCTGAGACTGTATTGTTGGTTACTTGTAAAACCTGCAAGAGGATAAGTTAAACATCATGGTAAAAGTAGAAGCTTTCTATCATCATTGGTGAGCACTCTTAGAACTCCTAAATCTTCCTTCAAAACACCCCAGAGAAAGGCTCCAAGTTCTGCAAACCTAAATTTTGATAGGTTTGGTTCCAAAGGGAAGAGTACTGCATTGATACTCAGAACACCTACATCTGAACAGTCAACACCACTTTGCCTTCTTCCAAGAATATGAGCAAAATGCAGAAACAGTTCTCTCAACTAAAATTGTTGGTCAGTTCACAGAAATCTCAGAAAAATCCAATGATGGACTTTAAAAATTCTTGTGTTCTCTGTAAAGGATGGATTTTGAAAATAAAGATCTGATGTAATTTCTAAAGCTAAGTGAGAATAACATTAAAAAAACACACACAAACTTTTCATTGTTCTTGTAATACATAAATAAATAAATTCAAGAGTAAACTTTTTTTGGCATCCTTTGTTTATGGGGGAAATGCATTATTGGGATGAATAATACCTGCCTACCATTCAAGATGATTATGAGTATCAGAAACATGAAAAAAATAACGTTTTATGAAAATGGTAAAGATGCATATAGATGTGGGTTGTTATTTTCATATTCCTCTGCCTTAATCTTTATGTTGTGTTATTTCTAAGGAAAATGAGACCTTTTTTGAGAGGGTTTATGAACTTGTGAAGCTTTCTTCTAAGTATCTGTAACCTCATTGCAAATTCAGAAAAAGGATCAAGTGTATATAGTCTTAACTTCCCAGTCATCTATCTGCATAAATAGCTCGGTGAGATCTGCACATTTATTCCTATTTTGAGTGCAAAGGTAAGTACCTGGGACATACATCATTGTGTATGAATTATAGAAATTTTTTTTATTTCTAAATTTCCATTGTATCGTTGTTGTTGTCGAGTCGTAGGTGACTCATAGTGACCCTATGAACGAAAGTCCTCGACACTTATGTGCGTGACTTTCATCCATTCTCCAGATTTATAGGGTTTCCAGAGGCAAGCTATTTATGGAAGTGGATGCCACGCCTGCTTCCAAGCTTCTTTCAACCAGTGACTGCCACCAAACACTGTCCACCATGGTAACCGTTATTGCATTTGACACATCAGTGTCACAGTGCTCACTGTTCCTATAATAATTTTTTATTTTAAGTATTATTTTGCTTACTCTGGTGAAGAATTATTTCTCAGTCTAAAAATTATGTCAAAACTTGACAGAACAACAATTTAGTTACCCTGCTTGCTGTAACTGAGGAAGACCTGAAGCACTTGCTGCAGAAGGTCAAGGACTGCAGTCTTCAATATGGATTGAAGCTCAACATCAAGAAAACAAAGATTCTCACCACTGGGCCAAT